TTATTTCTGACTTCAGTTAATCAACAGATTGCTTTCAAACATCTTCCTCCTAGACTTTTGGGAAGGCTTGGCAAAGAAAAAAATTCCACTGTATATTTTGCCAATTAATTAATAGTGAGTGTTTTTGTTTTGTTGAAGCTTTTCTTTATTCACATTGTTTCAGATCTCTGATTTTAATTAGAAGCCAACGACTTGTCTCTCAATATTCCATATAGACCACTCGTTTATAAAAGCAGACCTGAAAGAAGTTAACAGTTATAGATTTCCTGCTAAAAGCTAAGGAGCCCTTCTTGTGTAGTGTGTTACCTGTTGGGCTGCTAAGTGACAGGTTAACATTTTTAATCCATCCTTTATTCTGCAGGAGAAAGACATGGTCCTGTGGTCTCCTCCTTTAAAAACATACAGACGCAGAAAGTCAAAGGAGGGTCACCTTGGGCTGGCTGATGAGGTTTTCTGAAAGCTAAGCACAGTACCAAGTACTTTGCACTAATGATCTTATTTAACCTCCATGGATGGGGTGTGTCATTTTTATCATTTTAATTTTGAAGAATAAAAAAAAAGTAAGAAAGAAAAAGAGATTCAGATTCACACAACATTGGATGAACTGGGATTTAACCAAATTTCTCAACTCAGGTTTTCAAGACTACTCAAGAATCAACATATGACTGGAAAAATAACTGTATTTATTTTGCACATTTAGATCCCTTAGTAGGAGCCAGTGTGCGAGATGTTTGTAATCAGTTGCTAAATGAAAGTTTGTCTGTTCAAACACACTCAGTTGCCCCACAGAAGAAATGACTGGTGATATGTTTTCATAAGAATTTCGTAAAATCTACTACCATTGAGTTGATTTCGAGTCATTTTCCATCAGAATCCAAAGGTTGTGAATCTTGACAGGAAAATATTGACCATCTTTCTCCCTTGGAGCAACTGGTGGATTCAAAGTGCCAACCTTTTGGATAGTAGCACAACACATAATGCACTATAACCAAGAAAACCCTGGGGTAAGGGGGAGATTTACCCTGTAATTCATGGGGTCACGGTGAGGCAGGTTAAATCCACACAGGCAGCTAGCACAACCTCACTCAGCAAACTCTGCCAAAAACCAAATCGCCTTTTACGTGGCCTCAGATAAAAAGAAATACAGATCAATAAGATAAAGAAATGAAAATTCATGAGTGGTATTGTAAACTTGTACTGCCTGCCATGGCATTGGAAGTAAGTATTCCCCAAGGCAGTCACACCATGCATTACAAGAAAGAGGACTGTGACTGGGAAGTCTGCTGTACCCATGTCCTTAGAATCAGTGTTTAGAGGAGATATAAAGCCAGGTGACTGAAGCATGTTTTTTTTCTTCTCAGATTATGGTGCATACAGCAGAATCCTTTTGATTCATTTGAAAAATGCACTTCCATTGTAGGTTCCAGGAATTAAAAGGTATAGACTTATGTCTCAGATAGCTCAGATATTTGGAGCTCACCTTCATACATATTTTAATCTTGAAAACCCACTGCCCCTTGCCTCTCAGCTTGAGGTCTTCTTCTTTGCTGGCATGACACCTTGGGAGAGCTATTATTAGTAAAGTAACTCAATCACAAATGTTTTCTCTTGTCCAATGCAGGGGCATCTTAAGAAAGTAAGAAAATGGTAAAATGGTTCCCTGAAGACTTTTTCCACAAAGCATTAATATTTATTAACTTGAACTCTATCAAGGATGAATGTTTTATGATAAAAAAGTAATGAGCACAAAATAGGAGACTTAAGTTCCAAACTCCCTCCTCTTTCTGTAGAAAGGATTCTACAGGGGCTAGCAAACTACTGTCTTGATATTTTGGGCTCTCTCATTCACTCATTTAGACAAGGGAGCAGTTGAACACTGCCTTATGTGAATGCTGGGAACAATAATCAAAGAGTTGCAAGCTTCCTTTATCAATAAGCACCAACTAAAACAAAGCTATAAATCAATGTTATATTAATGCTGCTTTAACAAATTTAGTATGTATTGATAAATATGAAAGAGATATCAAAAGCTTAGCATTATTTACACACTTTAGGTTTAGAGTCAATCAATTTCCAACAGTTTAGATAGTTTTCTTTTTGACAGTTATGAACAAAAGCCTATCTGTCTCAAGGGGATGTTTTTCTATTTGTTCATTCATTATTTATTGAGTGCCTTCATTTACAAGGCACATGGAAATGCAGTAGTTTTTAAATCAATATTAAGATTGCAAACAAATTATTTTCATGAGGTTTTTATTATTAAAGACCTCCCTTCCATAAATAGCTGTGCAAGTCCCTTAACAAACAACACAATCTTATTATAGCCTTTCATGGTGAGTTATTGCATACTAAAAATGAACAGGACCTTCCAAAGTCAGGAATTAATATGGACCCCCATGAAGGCACAAAAATAAAGAGCCAGTGATATTCATTTCCATCTTAGGAAGATTCTATGATTCAGAACCATGGTGGCTATGCTCAGATATGTAACAATGAGCCTGTTAAACTCTCCTTTTTTCTAGTCACAAGTAAGGTTCTGACAAAGTATTTTGGGGTAGGTTTTCAGTACATCATCATATGTTACCATTGGGTCTAAACTATGTGGGAAAGAGAAATAAGCATAGATTTTAGAATTAAACTTCAGTGCCTCTCCTTTTTACTTAAAACATCTAATATGAAAATCTTTTTCATATCAAAAGTTTAAAAGATCAAACTGAGAATAATAGTGTGATTCACCACAAAACTAAAGCAAGAACAATAATAATGATAGCAAAATAATAATAAGACAGAGATGAACATTTTGACCAGAATAATTTTCATTTCATGAACTATCTAACTTACAATCAGGAGCCACCTGAAGTGTCTAGTAAGAACAGTGTGGATTTTAAGTTACAAACCTTCTGATTCTTGAGCAAGCTTAACAGAAAAGATTATATCCTCCTACTTCTTTCATTGACCAGAATATCAAACCATGGAAGAATTTCAGATGATGCAATGATCACATTCAGTTACCGATGACAAGGGTCGCAGTTCGAATCCACTCAATCCTTTCCTGGGAAGAAAGACCTGGTGACGAACTTCCATTAAATAAAACCCAGCTAGAGAGCCCTCTGAACTGTCTTACTTTGCACATGAGACAGCTGTCAGTTGAAAGTCAACCAAATGGCACCTAATATCAGCAACAACCACAGCAAATTAAATGATATAGCAAAGAAGGGAAACAAACAAACAAAATAGGTAAGAATTGTTTCCATTTTATAAGGAAGCATTCACTGGCCTGGTAGCTTTCAAGCACAAGGAAAACTGCAAATTCTCCTTTTTAAACAAATGAATACGTTCCTTACTGCTATCAAGTTAATTCTGACTCATAGTAACTGCTGGTGCTACAGGCTAGAATCATAGAAGAAAAGCAGATGACAAGTCCAATTTTTCTGCAGTTCAACTGAGTGGGTTTAACCTACCACATTTTTTAAAAAAAAAATTTATTTTATATTGCTTTGCTTACAAAGTTCATATACACTGTGTTTCATACCATTGTTCATTCACATTATGTTTCATACAGTCATTCCATTCATTATACTTTGTAAAATTAATCACCATTGCACTATGCCCACCATTACCTGGTCTATTCAGGGCCCCACTAGATCATTCCCATTTCTTTCCCACCCTCCCTCCACTCACCTGTGATCTCACCCTTACTCATGCTCACCCACTCTTTTGCTTTCACACCTTCCCTACTTGGATCCCCATACATGTTTTACTAGTTATCCTTCAATGTTTACAATAGTGGTGTTATGCAATATTTGTCCTTATGAGACTGAATTAGTTTACTCAGCATAATGCTCTCCAGACTCTCCCAAGTTATGTAGTATTTTTCAAAATCATTGCTTCTGAGTGCTGTGTAGTATTCCACCATGTGAGTGTACCACAATTTCTTCATAGGGCAGCAAGTAATAAATATTGTAGAGGATGTGGAGAGGTAGGAACTCCCATACACTGTTGATGGACTATAAAATGGTACAACCAGGCTGGAAGGCAGTTTGACATTTCCTCAAAAAGCTGAACATAGAAACTTCCTCTAGTCCAGCTGTACCATTGTGAGGAATATATCCCAAATAAATGAGAACTGAAACCCAAACAGAGATATGTACACCAATTGCAACACTATCACAACCTACAACTGTTTTAGTAATCTCCCTCACATCCATCAAGTCACTTTCAACTCAGGACCCTCCATCAGGTTTCTAAGGCTATAAATAACAATGGGAGGGGACTGAGAATATTTCATCCCCTGGAGCTGCTGGTAGATTCAAACCACTGGAATCATAAAGACTTTTGCTTAACAGCACAGCTTGCTCTGTCTATGCCGCCAGAGTTTCCAGACAGGGTAACACAAACCATCCGTGCCAATCCAAAAACCAAAACTGCTACCGTTCAGATGATTCCATAGTAACCTACTAGGACTTAAGATACAGGTCTTTAAGAACGGCCTTGCCATGCCAATAATACCTAATCACATGTTCCTTTTATATAGTTCTCTCCCTCATCTGCTTCAATGTCGTGTACATTATTTATCCTCTCTTTTCTCAGAATAAGAACTGCATAGTAAAGTGGTCGGGAGTGGGTGACTGTATAATAGTGAAAGAACTTTTTTTTCCCAAGAAAAAAGTGAACTGGGGTAAGGGTGAAGGGACAGGGAGGAAAATGTGTTACAATGAATGAATGGGAAAAAAAAAAGGAATATGTTCAAACCTATTAATACTAAAAAAAGTATACACTTTCTAAAAGACAAACAAAAAAAGAATGGCCTTGCCTCAAATAGAACTTTTGACATAAGTCTCAAGTTCTTGCCAAAGGAAGAAGGGAAGAAGATACAGATTGTCCTTTCACTTCACCATAGTGTTGCTTTTTCCTTTCCTTCCTCTCACTGCTGTATCTGGGCCTCCACCTATTCACTTCCTTTCCTCTGACTTATTCTTCCGACTTTTGAAATCGTGCAGGTTGTCCGGCCGTACCAGACCATGTCCAACCCCATGAGCAAGCTCACTGTTCTCAACAGCATGCACTCGCACTTCATCCTGGCCGACAATGGGACCACCGGGAAATACGGGGCCGAGGTGAAACTCCGGAGGCAGCTGGAAAAGCACATTTCACTCCAGAAGATAAATACAAGTAAGTAGGTCACTGTCCCTCCACACTGTCACGCCTCAGAGGAAACAAGTTGAGAGTGAGACACTTTAGGTCCACCATGGAGCAGGGCTGTGAAAATTTGAGCAAGTTCGGGTATGGACAGTATTTCTGCCAGGCCAGCGCGCCATCCGGAGGGGGAGGAGCTGCTGTGCCAGAGCTGATTACACCATAAGTGAGCTCATTTTTCATGCATAAGAAATTCAACACCCTCTGGGGCTTGGGGAATGTAGATACCCTTTTTCTTAAAAATTTTCTTACATCCGTTGCACAGAAAAACTTCTAGGAGGAAAGGCACCCCAGAGAAATGGATTCAATTTATTAAACTTGTTTTGGTGCCTAAAAATGGGGTGGGGAGGGGGGGAAAGGAAGAATAAGGCTTGCGCTTAGCCCAGGTCTGGCTGAGTTAAAGCATTTCAAAGCAATTATATATTCTCTTGGCATCAATCAGTTTGATGAAGTTTTAACACAAACTCCGTGTCTTAATTTTATGAAAGCAGTTTTTCATTGTCGCTCTTTTTGTGCGTATATTTAGATGTAAGCGTAGATTCATGTACACTGTGATTTTAATTACTTAGTATTGCCATAACAGTAATATCACAGCTTTAAAAACCTGAAATGCACTTTCTCATAGTTCTGGAAGGTCAAAGTTCAAATCAGGGTCATGGTCATTTTGATTCTTTCTGTGTTGGGGAGCCTGACTCCCAGTTCCTTCAGTGTTTCTCGGCTTGTGGAGGACCTCTGTCTCCCCCTCTTAAGTGTGCCTCTATGTTTTTCCTGGTCTTTTTGTAAATCATAAGTGATTAACAATATAAAGTGATGGCATTTAATATTATCCAGTAATATGAATTCAAGGAATTGATGATATTACATTCGTTTGTGTTGTATCCACTGCTGTGGGATTGTTTCTGACTCATAATGACCCTCTGTTGGGTTTCCAAGGCTGCAATTCCTTAGAGATCTTCCTCCTGTGAAACTGCATTGTGAAAGATGACTATGTCACATGACATTAAATTTTATTCTGTTAGATTGTATTATGGAACAAAATCTGTTCAACCCAAGGTTTTAATTATATCTAAGTGCTCTATGAACTTTGATGAATATCAATAGTTGTAGAGGGGCTTCCGGCCTTTTGTTCATAGGGTCATTATGAGTCGTGCTCGACTCAAAGGCAATCAGCAACAACAACAACAACAACAATAACTCCAGGAAAGCTTCCAGACGAGTGTTTACACATACATCTTGGAACTGCAGCCTAGCCAAGCCGAGATAGAAATTGCCTTCACTGCCACATATTCCGTGCCCAGTACTGTTGTTGCTGTTAAGAGCTGTCAGGTTGAGTATAACTCATAGTGCCCTATGAACAACAGATCTGAACCTTATACTATCCTGTGCCATCCTCACAATCTCCGACATCCCCAAGCCCATTGCTGCAGTCATTGTGTCATTCCACCTGGTAGAGGATCTTCCTCCCTTTCACTGTCCCTCCACCTTCCCAAGCCATGAGATCCCTCTCCAATAAATAGCCTCTCTTAGCAACATGCCCAAAGTATATCCAATAGTTACACTAAAATAAACTATTAAGCACTTACACCTATGCTCTTTGCTGCGTTTGTTATATGCACAATGGTTTTACAGGGTGGCAAAGTAAAAGCAGTAATGCCTCCCCAGATCCCTAAGTGCCTTGCTTTTTTTTGTTGATTGCCTTCAAGTCAAGCAGGACTCACTGCAACCCTATGAACAAAAGGCCTGAAGCCCCTCTATAACTATCAACATTTATCAAAGTTCATAGAGTTTCCAGAGGCATGTTATTTAGGAAGTGGATGCCCCTCCATAAGATGCATTAGAGATATTAAAACAATTTACCATTTCTCCTACCTAAATTAAGTTAAATTTGCTTTCACAAAACAATGTGAAAGCTTAAACAGGTTCCAACAGTGAAGTCATTGTATGTTACATCAGAGAAGCTTTGATCTAACTGAAGAAGTTTTTAAAACCTACAATTACAAAAAGCAGAAAACTCCCTTTGATCAGATAAATTCACAAAAGTGCAAGTTGATTCAAGGTGTGCAGGTGGCTGTTGCCTGTCCGGCGTCACCATGTCAAGTCACGTTTCCTCCAAAACTGTGATACCTCATCTTAGATTTCTCTTCTCTGTGCTCTCATTTCTGAATCCATCATTTAGGAAATTCTACTTTAAGTCACTGACCTTCACGTTTTTACAAGGAAATTTGGAATAATCCATTTTGTGGTTAGCCTGCTGTCAAAGGTAAAGTAGGAATATGCTTTCTATTGAAGAATCCCTAACTATCTTTTGAAAGAGAAATCATAATTCATGCTTAGGTAGATGTCTTCTAAAAACAAACTAAAAAAGTAAGGCTCATTGATCTAGAAACTGCCAGAAGTACTATTGGCAGGAAGTAGTAGATTTACTCTAAAACTGAATTATAATATTTTAATATAATAAGATAGTGTAGAATTAGTGTCATATGTTTTGTTTCGATGACTGATAGAATTTTGATGTCATCAGTTTCATAATGAGAACTTAACATCAGGGAGCTGAAGTGGATGGGAACAGGGTAAACAGAGGCAAGGCTAAGTTCATTACTGGCTAATAAGAGGATGCCATCTGTCATGCCTAGCCTTGGTGGCAGCTGAGCTGAACAATCGGATAGTGTGGGAGAACTATAGGTATGTGATTGTGAGGGTTAGGGAAACTTGCTCTTTATAAAGAGCCCAGAGGAAATAATTGGCCTTTTTATAATTTGTCTCTTCAGACAGAGGTGCACTTATTTGCCTGGAGTGGTGCCTTGCTCTAGTGCCCACTGAGAGGCACCCCTGCAGGAGAGGCTAATGCACAGCGGCCTAGCCTGAATGAGGAGCAGAGCCCAGCAGCACGAGGGTAAAGAACTAGAACAGGCAGAAGGCCCAGGGCTGTGGGAGGAGCCAACCTCAGGACCACATGTTTGTCCTTGCATTAATCGTCAGGAACCAGTCACAGCCCATTCACAGGGACAGTACACCCTTCCTGGATTGCCTGCATAAATAGGACAGTATTGATACATGGATACACTGGCAAGCGGAAGACCCAGGTAAGGGTTGGGGAACAAAATAGGGGAGAGACACACAGCCAGGTACTAAATGGAGGCACAAAGTTAGAGGAGCTCCTGAAACAGTGCAGGTCCTCAAAAAGGATTAGGCCTTGAGTGTGGATAAGAGTTAAACCCAGAGAGTGGAGTGGAGTGCGGACAAAGGGAACCAGTTGGTCATTGCATTCAGCATGACCTATAAGCATACGTTTCTTCTTGCTTTAGAACTCTATTTGATGATTTACTAGAAGCTCACAGGCTTCCACTTGGCCAGTTTAATTGATTGGTAATAAGCTGCTCCTTGGAGGCAAGGATTCTGAAGTTTTGTCTAACATACTTTGGACATGTTGCAAGGAGGGACCAGTCCTTGTGCTTGAAGGGTGGAGGGACAACGCAAGAGAGGAAGATCCTTGATGAGATGGATTGATTCAGTGACTGGGATAATGGGAGTAGATGTGTTGGAGACGATGAGATTGGCACAGCAAAGAGCAGGGTTTAGGGCTCTTGTACATAGGGTGCTATGAGTCGTAGGCAACTTGATGGCACATAGCAACAACAAGAAGAAGAAGACTAGGGGAACCCAATAGAGATCTACCAAAGCTCAGGTGGCCTAGTGGAAAAAGCTATTCTGCAATCTCCAAAGCACACAGTTCGAACCACTAGCTGCCCCACTGGAGAACGATAGACAGTCTCCTCTTGCATGGTTTATTGCCTCTGAAAACTCTCTAGAGGGTCAGCTATGGGTCAGTTCTGATTAGAAAGCATGTAACACCACCACCACCAGAGATATATAAGAAAATTCTAAGTTAGAAGTGTGTCCATGAGGTAAGGTGGATAAGATCATGAGTTAACTATGAGTTCTCTCCCTGAACATCTCAGCTATAGGGTGATTAATTCATCCCAACTTGCCTAGGCATTCATAGGTTTAACATTTAAAGTTGTATTCCCCTGCCACTCCCATCCCCGGTCTGCTTTCTCTGTGCTATACTCATACACACAGTAGAGAGGGACCAGGGAGCTCCTTGGTGGTCCACATAAGAAGTGACCCCTGGTGACTGAAGTAGAGCAGGACCTTGAGACCACCTTCAGTTTCAGTAAAGAAAAGCATGCAGGCAGAGCACAGAAGCTTCCAGAAGAGAACCAAGTAAAGGGAGGGAAGGGGGACTCACCACATCCCGGCCACTACATGAACCAAGAGGAGGAAGAATGAAGATCTTTAATGTTAGGCCCATGCTGGGCTTCAGGACAGAATTTCTACCAGCTCATCTGGAAGCTATTATTTCCTTTATTTGGAAGTTAGTAGTAACGGCGTGTATCCTGTCGGGAGTTGCACTGATAACTAAAGTGGCATCTCTCTGGTACTTCAAATCCACAGCTACCCCTCAGGAGAAAGCTGGGAAGTCTCCTGTGTAATTTATAGCCTTAGGAAACTCACTGGAGGTGGGGGCAGCTATGGGTCGGTTCTAACTCGACAGCAATGGATAGAGTACATGCGTAAATAATACCGTTCTTCCTACTACAGATAACTTGTAAAATCTATTAGGTCTCTGTGAGTGAAAATTGAGTTGAAGGCTATAAGTACTTTAACCTTTAAGTTAATTCTGACTATCCATTTACCATTTATTCTTCCATTTCTTTCTTCTAGAGTTTAGGAAATAAACCACACACACTCACACACACAAATATTCAACTGTTGGAACTCACTTGGCCTCCTGAAAATTAGATGCTATGCCAATGAAACCATTCACCACCAGACTATAACACATAGGATGGACCCCAGAGACGTCTGAACACATTCAACACTTCCCTCATTTAAATGCCACTCATTTTAATCACTTAGCAGTGACCTGCATACCATGGCTGCCTATCAACAAACGCTCTTTTTCTTACATGCAT